TCAGACGCCCCCGCTTGTTTTGGTTGGGGCTCTCGGCACTCTCCGAGGAGGAGGAGGAGGAGGGAGGAGGGGGAGAAGTAGCTGCAGAGGCAGCGCCTCCCGGGAAGAGGCGTCTTCCCCGACTCCTTCCCAAACCTCCTCCCTCGCCTCCCGCCCTTGTCCCCTCCTCTCCTCCCCTGCCGACTGGAGCGAGGGGCAGGGGTGTGCCTGTCCCTCCGGCGCGTCCCCAGCTCTCCCGGTTGCCTAGTAGCGTTTCGCGTGGAAAAGCCACTTTCTCCGCCTGCCGAGATGGGCCCGAATGGGGGCTGCAGAGGACGCGACTGCGGGTGGCGGCAGCAGCAGCAACAGCCGCAGCGCCGCGGTCTCTGCGATTGAGCTGGTATTTGGGCGGCTGGTGGCGGCGGGGACTGTTGGGGGGTGGGAGGAGGCGGAGGAGGAGGAGGGAGAACCCCGTGCAACGTTGAGACTTGGCAGCTCGCCTCCCCCTGCCCAAGGATATTTAATTTGCCTCGGGAATCGCTACTTCCAGAGGGGAACTCGGGAGGGAAGGCGCGCGCGCCTGGAGGGGCAACCTGGGGACCCCTGGCCGCTGTCGCCTGCCTGCTCGGGACTCCGGCTCGGGCGGGGAGAGATGCATCTACACTCCTTCCCAGAGACTTGGCTCTGTGAGGATCCGGGCTGCACACCCGCCGGACGCACTGCCTCTCCCCCGGGTGTTTGCATGAAACGCCCGTAAACTCTGGCCGGGGCTCTCTCCTCGTCGTAGCCGCAGCGTCCTGCTTGGGCTGCCCCTTCCCAGCGCGGGGGGGCGGCGTGGATTTCGGAGTCGGGGTTTTGGCCGCCTCCAGCCCTGTTTGCATGCGCGGGGCCTCGGCGAGGAGCCTCCGCCCCCCACCGGGTGGTTTTTCGGCGCCTCCCTCTGCTCGGCGGAGGTGGTGGCGGCAGCATGGCGAGCCCTACGGAGACCGAGGGCTTCTCGGACGTGCGCAAGGTGGGCTACCTGCGCAAACCCAAGAGCATGCACAAGCGCTTCTTCGTGCTGCGGGCGGCCAGCGAGGCGGGGGGCCCGGCGCGCCTGGAGTACTATGAGAACGAGAAGAAGTGGCGGCACAAGTCGAGCGCCCCCAAACGCTCGATCCCCCTCGAGAGCTGTTTCAACATCAACAAGCGGGCTGACTCCAAGAATAAGCACCTGGTGGCCCTCTACACCCGGGACGAGCACTTTGCGATCGCAGCGGACAGCGAGGCCGAGCAGGACAGCTGGTACCAGGCCCTCCTGCAGCTGCATAACCGCGCCAAGAGCCACCACGACGGGGCTTCGGCCCCCGGGACAGGAGGCGGCGGGGGCAGCTGCAGCGGCAGCTCTGGCGTTGGCGAGGCCGGGGAGGACCTGAGCTTCGGGGACAGCAACCCAGGGCCCGCCTTCAAAGAGGTCTGGCAGGTGGTCTTGAAACCCAAGGGCCTGGGTCAGACAAAGAACCTGATTGGTATCTACCGCCTCTGCCTGACCAGCAAGACCATCAGCTTCGTGAAGCTGAACACAGAGGCGGCCGCAGTGGTGCTGCAGCTGATGAACATCCGGCGCTGTGGTCACTCGGAGAACTTCTTCTTCATCGAAGTGGGCCGTTCCGCAGTGACCGGCCCCGGGGAGTTCTGGATGCAGGTGGAGGACTCGGTGGTGGCCCAGAGCATGCACGAGACCATCCTGGAGGCCATGCGGGCGATGAGCGATGAATTCCGGCCTCGCAGCAAGAGCCAGTCTTCCTCCAACTGCTCCAACCCCATCAGTGTCCCGCTGCGCAGGCACCACCTCAACAACCCTCCACCCAGCCAGGTGGGGCTGACCCGCCGCTCACGCACCGAGAGCATCACGGCCACCTCTCCAGCCAGCCTGGTGGGCGGCAAGCAGGGCTCCTTCCGTGTCCGCGCCTCCAGCGACGGAGAAGGCACCATGTCCCGCCCGGCCTCGGTGGACGGCAGCCCTGTGAGTCCTAGCACCAACAGGACCCACGCCCACAGGCATCGGGGCTGCTCGCGGCTGCACCCCCCACTCAACCACAGCCGATCCATACCCATGCCTTCTTCTCGCTGCTCGCCTTCTGCCACCAGCCCTGTCAGTCTGTCGTCCAGCAGCACCAGTGGCCATGGCTCCACCTCTGACTGTCTTTTCCCGCGGAGATCTAGTGCTTCTGTGTCTGGCTCCCCTAGTGATGGCGGTTTCATCTCTTCCGATGAGTATGGCTCCAGTCCCTGCGATTTCCGAAGTTCCTTCCGCAGTGTCACCCCAGATTCTCTGGGCCACACCCCACCGGCCCGCGGGGAGGAGGAGCTGAGCAACTACATCTGCATGGGAGGCAAGGGCGCCTCCACTCTCGCCGCCCCCAATGGTCACTACATTTTGCCTCGGAGTGGCAATGGTCACCGCTACCTCCCAGCCACGGGCTTGGGCACGAACTCGGCCCTGGCTGGGGATGAAGCAGCCAGCGCTGCAGATCTGGATAATCGGTTTCGCAAGCGGACTCACTCAGCTGGCACCTCCCCCACCATTTCCCACCAGAAGACCCCATCGCAGTCCTCCGTGGCTTCCATTGAGGAATATACAGAGATGATGCCTGCCTGCCCACCAGGAGGTGGCAGTGGAGGCCGACTGCCCGGCTACAGGCACTCCGCCTTCCTGCCCACCCAGTCCTACCCTGAGGAGGGTCTGGAAATGCACCCCCTGGAGCGCCGCGGAGGCCACAGCCGCCCAGACACCTCCACCCTCCACACGGATGATGGCTACATGCCCATGACCCCAGGAGTGGCCCCAGTGCCCGGCAGCCGGAAAGGCAGTGGGGACTACATGCCTATGAGCCCCAAGAGTGTGTCTTCCCCGCAGCAGATCATCAACCCCCTCAGACGCCATCCCCAGAGAGTGGACCCCAATGGCTACATGATGATGTCCCCAAGTGGCAGCAGCTCCCCAGATACTGGGGGTGGGCCCAGCAGCAGCAACAGTGCTGCCCCTTCTAGGAGTAGCTATGGGAAGCTGTGGACAAATGGGGTTGGGGGCCACCACGCCCACCCCCTGCCACCCTCCAAACTACCCTCGGAGAGCAGTGGTGGGAAGCTCTTGCCTTGTACAGGTGACTACATGAACATGTCACCGGTGGGGGACTCCAACACCAGCAGCCCCTCTGACTGCTACTGCGGCCCTGAGGACCCCCAGCACAAGTCAGTTCTCTCCTACTGCTCATTGCCAAGGTCCTTTAAGCACACCCAGCGCCCGGGGGACCTGGAGGAGACCGCCCGGCACCAGCACCTCCGCCTTTCCTCCAGCTCCGGTCGCCTTCTCTATGCTGCAGCAGCCGAAGATTCCTCCTCCTCCACCAGCAACGACAGCCTGGGTGGGGGATACTGTGGGGTGAGGCCCGAGCCCAGCCTCCCGCAACATCTCCACCATCAGGTCCTGCAGTCCCATCTGCCTCGAAAGGTGGACTCAGCTGCGCAGACCAACAGCCGCCTGGCTCGGCCCACGAGGCTTTCCCTGGGGGACCCCAAGGCCAGCACCTTACCTCGGGCTCGAGAGCAGCAGCAGCCGGCCCTACTGCTTCCTCCAGAGCCCAAGAGCCCAGGGGAATATGTGAATATCGAATTTGGGAGTGATCAGCCTGGCTACTTATCTGGTCCCGTGGCATCCCACAGCTCGCCTTCTGTCAGGTGTCCATCCCAGCTCCAGCCAGCTCCCAGGGAGGAAGAGTCTGGCACTGAAGAGTACATGAACATGGACCTGGGGCCTGGCCGGAGGGCTACCTGGCAGGAGAGCCCTGTGGTCCAGCTGAGCAGAGTGGGTCCTGCACCTCCAGGGACTGCCAGCACATGCAGGCCTACCCGGGCAGTGCCTAGCACTAGCACTCGGGGTGACTACATGACCATGCAGATGGGTTGTCCCCATCAGAGCTACGTGGACACCTCTCCAGTTGCCCCTGTCAGCTATGCTGATATTCGGACAGGCATTGTGGAGGAGGCGAGCCTTCCCGGGGCTATAGCGGCTGCTCCCTCCTCATCCTCAACAGCCTCTGCTTCCCCCACTGCGCCTCAAGGAGCAGGGGAGCTGGTGGCCCCGCAGGGGTCCGGGGGCACGAGTGCCTTCACCCGGGTGAACCTCAGTCCCAGTGGCAACCAGAGTGCCAAAGTGATCCGTGCAGACCCGCAAGGGTGCCGGAGGCGGCATAGCTCCGAGACCTTCTCCTCCATGCCTAGTACCCCCCGGGCCGGCAACATGGTGCCCTCAGGGGGGGCTGCAGTAGGGGGCAGCAGTGGAGGCAGCAGCAGCATTGAGGATGTGAAACGTCACAGCTCTGCTTCATTTGAGAACGTGTGGCTGAGGCCTGGGGAGCTCGGGGGAGCACCCAAAGAGCAGGCTCAAGTGTGTGGGGCTGCAGGGGGTTTGGAGAATGGTCTGAACTACATAGACCTGGATTTGGTCAAGGACTTTAAACAGCACCCCCAGGAGCACCCCCGTCAAGTGCAGCATCCCCAGCCCCCAACCCTTCGTCATCCTCCGGGCAGCAGTGAGAGCAGCTCTACCAGCCGCTCCAGGGAGGATGTAAGCGCCTATGCCAGCATCAGTTTTCAGAAGCAGCCAGAGGACCTCCAGTAGCTCAACTGAACATCACAGCAGGTGCGTTTCACGGTGACAAAGTCAGAGACAAATTTACTTTAACCTTGTGCTTGAATTCTGTTTCTTTTTGCTTCTGCCCCTTCTCTCTCTTTCATGTTTCTTCCTTAAGGAGTGCACTCAGGAGGGGGGTGGGAGAGGTGAGGGCACATAAGATGCTCACCCCACAGTGACACCTGGCTGATAGTCTCTAGTCAGTCATATAAACCTGTAGGAGCAGCCACACAGGAGGGCTGTTTCATTGGAGGTTCCTGACTGTAGTATTTCTAAGACATGTATTCTATAATGGCAGTTCTGAGGTTTGTGAAGTTCATATATAAGAACTTTTATCTCTTCATAGAAGTTGACTTTTGACTGTATATTTTGACTGGAACAGACAATTCTTCTACAAAAATATTTGTTAGAACAGGGCTAAACCTTCATTTGAAATCATTTCTCAGAGCTCTTCGTTTGATCTTGATAAGTTGTTCTGTATACTTTAGTTCTGTGATTACACAATACCAAGGTAACAAAAATAGCAGTAGGAAACATCAGTTTTTATTCACGCTCTCCTAAAATGATTCAGGAGTAAGAGATTGTTTAGGCTTACATATTTAGAAAGAAATACCTCTCTACCTGTGACCCTTTAGAAAGTAATTATGGGTGATGCTTTCTTTTGGTTCCTGAACCAGGACTTATGAAATATTCACACACGGACCCACCACCTCACAGGCATGGCTGCTTTTGTACAGGGTATACAGTGAAGTCTGCAGACGTCTGGGACCCATTATTAGTTAAGAGTTATGGTAATTCAACCCAGTGTGTCTGCCTCACAGTTGTTTATTCTTGCAAAGGCCTGCACAGAGACATCACACAGATCATTTGGGGGCTCCTGTGCATCGTCTGTAAAATTACTTAACATTTTTATGTTGAAAGAAGGCGTATTAAGTCAGGGAAATGGAGGGGTTTATCCTGTACTCTTCATTTTTTGGCTATTTATTGTTTGCCTTTAAGTTCCAGAGTAGATAACCTCATGAAAAGTTGAAAGGTGGCTTTAGGTCTTCTGTGGGTAAAGCTGTATTGAAAATGAAAAGCATTTGTAATAGGAAATTAGCTCGCCCTTCCTTCTGTTGAGCCTATTTTCTGGTGGTCATCATTGTGGGAAGAAGAGAGGAGTATAGTTCACAAATAATGTGATGAGTTGGCAAATGCAGAAGTTTCCAGCATTTGGAAGCACTTTATCCTGACAAAGAGTTTATCTTGTGATAGTCTTTTTATATATGCCTCACAGAATGAGCTTTTAGAGTATTATTCTTAATATGTGTCCATTCATAAGAAATTAATTTGTGCATTGGGTTCCTATTGATAGGTATTTGTTTATGTGGTCACAGCTCCTTGGTTCTAATAGTTTCCAGTAGTTGAGCCATATTATTTTCTGTTTTGTAGAACAAGGTGTAACTATACGAACAAATTCAGATTTTTGGTGATAGGATATAATATAAAAAGCAGCTGTTTGATCAAGCTTCAGTATTTCTTTTCATGAGTCACTAGAAGAGACTTAATTTTGTTTATCAACATGAGCAATAAAAATCTTTGAAGGTGTTTTGGGGAATGTGAATCCTTCTAACACTTTAATCATTTGTGGTGCAAAGTCTTTCATTTATAAAGTAATGACCGTTTGAAGGAAAAATCCCCAGCAGAACTTAAATTTTTGTTGTAAAGGAGATGAAAGAAGAGGCTGAGAAACAAATTTTCCTCACCTTTTTCTTAATTTGAACAGTTTTCTTTTTATAGAGTAAAATAAATAATATTTGCTCTGAAGGAAATTTATGATCAAATTGAGTTTTCATTTTTAAAAAGGGCTTAAAATCCTCCATTATGTGGAAGATACATCAAAAACCAACCAACCAAAACAAAATAACCTTCTATTCGTAGTTTTCTTAGGGAAAATATAACATTCTGAAATAATCATAGAATCATTTCCCTAATAATCCTGGAATAGCAGTAGACCATGCTTTAACAGACCATGCCAGACAATTCTACAATGTTTATTTGTAAGATGTAAATGGAGAGAGATGAGGGGTGTGTGTGTGTGTGTGTGTGTGTGTGTGTGTGTACCAAATGCTACTTGGCTCATGTACACCCTGAATTGTGCTCGCTTGCCTTTGCCCTGTTGAGCTTAAAGATGTGATTTGATAGTCATTTACATACTGAAACAAAAAGAAATCAAACCTGCCCTTGGCAAACAACTTTTCCTAGAAATACGTTACTTTGTGAAAACATTGTCTTTGTAACTTCCTGAGCAACTACCGTCTTTGCCTCTCGCTCCCATTTCTCAGGTAAAACCTGAAACATGAAAGGGAATGAGGTGCTATGGGGAGTGTGCTCATGTCTCCTAACCCCTCATCTTAAACATCTGCGCTTGTCTAATGATTTTTGCTGTCTATGAAAGGAGAACATTTGTGAGGCATTTAGCTCAGGTGCCCTTTGCTTCACCTCCTGTGCAGCCAGCCACCTTTCCTGTTTCTTCTTTCTGGTAGGCCTGTGTCTCTCTAACTTGGTTCTGACCTGATAGCCCCTCTTCCATTCCCTTTGTTTCCCACCTATGTTCCTGGCATTGCCTCCCCCGCCCCCCCTTTTTTTATCCATTCTAGAATTCCACAGTAGGTTCCTTTTTTTTTTTTTTGGTCAAGTATTCTGTACACCCATCTCCCTCCTTACAGTTCCCCTCGCTGTGTGGCCTTTTTGTCTGGCTCAAACCCTGTAGGCTCTGGCACTTTCCCTTTTCCAGGGTCACCTCCGCTTCCTGCATTCCTCCCTATTTATTTGGCACTTGGCTCCCTCTCTCTCCTAGCCCCCTTTTGCCCAGACTTGAGGATTTGGCCTCAGCCGCCCTCTGAAGTCTGCCACCCCGCCCATCCCCAGTGGCCCGAGGGCACCGATGTGGCCTGGGCCCCTTCCGCAGCCCCAGTGGTGGGCGAGCCCATGCCCTTGAGGCCTCGGGGAGCACAGACTGGCTCTGAGGGGGCGGGGCAGACGGGAGTTGATTGATCTCCCGCCAGAGCCAATCAGCGGGAGGATCAGCCTAGTTGTGCGGGTGGGAGGTGGGGCCAGGGATGGCCGGGGTCCCACAGTGACCCGGGGGCCTGGGGCCCAGGGCGGCCTTTTCCCACCCCTCTCTCTCCACCCCTCCCCTCTAGAGCGGGCAGAACTGAGCCAAACGCGCGGCCCTCCCTCCCCCTTCCAGAGGATGCGCGCATTCAGACTGGAATCCTAAGAATGAGAAATTCCAAGCAGCCCACTTGACCGAGACACACACTTCCTCTTATTTTTAATTGAGAAAAATCCGGGCTCTGGCCATGTGACGTGCCCCATTTTGTTTCCCTCCTCTGGATACTACAGTTTACTAAGACGCCGCCGTGTTCCTTCATCTTCCTGTTAAAATCTGGGAGCTGGAGGGAGCTACAGCACATGGTTGTGGGATTGATGGGGTTGGCTCCAGTCTCTCACATTTGCATCCCTAACTAATGGGAGGGAAGAGAAAAAAGGACAGAGAAGGGTTAGGGACCACGGGGAAAAAATACTTTGTCTAGAAATTGTATTAGGGTCAACATCATATTGAGTGCCCACAGTTTGCAAAGCATGGACAAAAGCTGACCCTTCTAGGCCAAAGGAGCTCACAGTGAAATGAAAATGTCTGATAGGAGCTTGCAAATCTTGAGCATTTAGAGATCCATTGCAAGGGCTCCGATCAGATTCCTTTCTGAGGTTGAAGGAAATTCTGCTTAAGCTCTCAAAAGCAGATTTTATTTTTGACCACTGACCACCCACGTGAAAGCTCCTGGGGGCAGCCTGGGCGACCTGGTGTTTGAAACCTGCTAGATTTGTGTTGTGCTCCCTCAAATAATCAAAATGATGTAAGACATGTTACTAGATGGGGCGGAAACTTTGATGAAATTTGTCCTTCCTAAAATAAAGAAGGAAAATGAGAAAGGGAAATACTATGGAAGTATTTTTTCCTCCCCCTCACCTCAGCCCTCTCAAATATGCATTTCTTACCAGCCAAAGTCCCTGAATCATAACCAAAGGCCACAGTTTTCCTTAGGTGATGATAAAAACATCCCAAGTGAACTTGTGAGAAAGAAGGACTGCCCTGGTGTAAGTGCTATGCCCTGATACTGCTGAGCTGTGGAAAAGACTTTCTCTGTTGTTCCAGAAAACTTTGGACATCTAACAATCTTCTTTATTTCTGCCATTGTTTAGATGGCTTTATAGTAAAAAAAAAAATAAATCCATAAAAATTTCCATATATAATTTATCTGATTGCACCCCCCCCTCTCCCCCCAATAAATACTGTCTCCAGTATTGCCATACAGTAAGGGACTTAGAATTCAAAAGTGTATGTGTCTCCCCCCCCCTTTTTTTTCCTTTTTTGGTTTATCAAGATTCCTGGAAATGACTTTATGCTATCTTGACTGATGCAATGGAAAAGCAGCTCCTTGGAGCCAGAGACCTTGCTTTGTAACAGCCAGTGCCCTTCACTAGCTGAGTGACCTTGGACAAGTCACTTAAGTTCTCTGGACCTATTTCTTCATGGGTAACTTGAGAATTTTGTTCTAAATTATTCTAACCTCCTTTTGCAGCTCTAAACATAGGACTGTTTTGTCGAAAACGACTGATAGTATTTAATGGGTCAGTTGTCATGAGGATTCTTTTTGAGGAAGCTGCTGATGGGGTCACAGTGAAGTGCATTAGAATATTCTGTGTTTTGTACTGTCCCGCAGACACTCTTTATGGTTTGATTAAGGACTGATTTTAACTTTTCTTGTTTGGAGGGAGCATATGCAGGTTTTAACACACTTTAAGACAGACCCTCCTGACTGAACCAGTCTAAATTTTTAGAACTTAATCTAGATTGGATTAGGCTCCTCCTCCCCCCACCCCCTTTCCTTTTTAAATTGGAATGTGTGAGGGAATTCAAGTCACCTGCTGGTCCTGCATTCTAAGGTCAACTATTGGAAGCA